TCTCTCTAAAATGTCCTCGAGAAACAGGCGTGTGCTGTGTGCAGTAAGTGATGTGGTACATCATGGAACAGGAGGGGCAGCTGGAGTGGGGACAGAGGAACCAGAAGGGAAGGTCTGACTATTTGATTAAAGTACTAATTTCCATATATGATTTATTTACTGAGATGTTTCAAATTCAGGTTAAATTGCAGCAATGTAATTAGCAAGAAAGAGGGAGAATCCACAGTCATATATTCATATAGTCACTTGATCATTTCTTGTATTTCCTTACGCTGTATTTGACAGCTAGGTTGTTACAAAGTAGTGTTTGTAACTGAATTTGTTTGTAACATGCTGTAAGTGTACTTAAGCACATATTGATGTTTTTCACACTGTAGTTTATTTATTCCTAATAGTCTTATTTATAGCTGGAATTACCTATCCTCAATCAAAAGCTCTTAAGAAAAGTTAAAAGATAGGAGATCTTTACAAGGTCCAACAGCACCAAATATTCCTCAGAAGTCATAGGTTTAGGAATGAAACTTCAGTGTCACCCAGTTCCACCCCCTGCCACAGGCAGGGGCACCTTGAATAGCCCAAGGTTGCTCCAAGCCCTGTCCAGCCTGGCCTTGCTCATTTCCAGGGATGGGGCAGCCACAGCTTTTCTGGGCAACCTCAGGGCCTCACCACGCTCACAGGGAAAAATGTCTTCTGTTATCTAATGTAAATTTACCTTTGTATCTATATAATGTACTAGAATTGCACTGCAAACATATTTTTTTTAAAAAAAAAGTAGTTAGCGAGGACTTGCAGTGCTTTGTCACTGTATATGCATTGAGAGCAGTGCATTAGAAAAAGCTGTTTATATCCAAAGATGGTGAATTCATCCCATACTATGAAATACCAGCTCAATATTTTCTAATCCCTCGTACCATATTCTTATGTTTATCGTGTATTGATTTGATTGTGTGACCTTAGTGCCTGCATGTACACAACATGAGCCTTAATTCTGCCTGACTGAGCAGAGCTGCCAGCTGAGACTTTGCACGTTAACATGTCAGCTTTGGGGCTTCCCAAATTACAGGGCTCACATAGTGCTGCTTAAGGTGAGCTCTTCTCCTTTAAACCTTTCCTTTCCTCTCTGGCAGAGTGTTTGCTTTCAAGCACGATCTGCTTACTTGTGTGGAACTCCTAAGAAAACCCCTCAGGGGTGTGTGCTTAGGAAGAGGAGATGTGATAAATACCATATGGCGCACGGGACTCTGGGTCTGTGTTTTTGTCTTCTTTCTTGTGAAGGAAGTGCCTTCAAATGACAGTTTGCTGACACTTTTTATTCACCAGTCACCAAACTATAAAGACCAATATGGTGGTTTCTCTCACTGAGGGAGCTGTGAGGGGCCGTGAGGGATTTTTGAGGGACTCTGAGGGGCTCTAAAGAGCCGTGAGGGGCTGTGAGAGGCTCTAAAAGTGCTATGGAGGTGCCATGAGAGGTTCTGAGGGGCTCAAAAGGGCTTTGGCAGCCTCTGAGGGGCTCAAAAGGGCTGTAAGGGACAGTGAGGGAGGGACTCTGAGGGGTTTTGAGGGGCTGTGAGGGGCTCTAAAGGGTTCTGAGAGGCTCAAAAGGGCTATGAGGGACCGTGAGGGAGGGACTCTGAGGTGCTGTGAGGGGTTTTAGGGGCTGTGAGGGGTTCCAAAAGGCAATGAGGGGCTGTGAGAGGCTCTAAAAGGGCTATGAAGGTGCCGTGAGGGGCTCTGAGGGGCTCTAAAGGGCTATGAGGGACCGTGAGGGAGGAACTCTGAGGGGCTGTGAAGGGTTTTAGGGGCTGTGAGGGGCTCTAAAGGGCTCTGAGGGGTTCAAAAGGCTTATGAAGGACCATGAGGGAGGGACTCTGAGGGGCTGTAAGAGCCTGTGAGGGGTTTTGAGGGGCTCTAAAGGGCCATGATTGACTGTGAGGGGCTGTGAGAGGCTCTAAAAAGGCTATGAAGGTGCCAGGAGGGGTTCTGAGGGGCTCAGAAGGGCTGTGAATGGCTCAAAAGGGCTGTGAGGGGTTTTAAAGGGCCATGATTGACTGTGAGGGGCTCTGAGGGGCTCAAAAGGGCTATGAGAGACCATGAGGGAGGGACTCTGAGGGACTGTAAGAGCCTTTGAGGGGCTGTGAGGGGTTTTGAGGGGCTCTAAAGGGCCATGAGGGGCTGTGAGAGGTTCTAAAAGGTCAATGAAGGTGCCATGAGGGGTTCTGAGGGGGGCTCTAAAGGGCTGTGAGAGACTGTGAGGGGTTTTGAGGGACCTTGAGGGTCTCTAAAGGGCCATGAAGGCTTCTGAGGGCCTGTGAGGGGCTGAGAGAGTTTCTGAGGGGCTCTGAGGGACCTTGAGGGGCTCTGAGGAGCTCTGAAGACTGTGGGGGGCTGTATAACAAAGTATTTCAAGAGATGACAGAATCCATTGGAAAAGCCAACAGATGCAAATTCGTTGTCTTCTGACATGGCACGACTACAGGAAACTGCTGCTGTTGTTTACTGAGGGGATTTTGTCAAAATGCATTTGAATTTGAATTGTGCTAAAGTGAATAAATGTTTGAGACAGTGGTGCTGACAAAAATGCTTTTAAAAAAACATTAGAAGAATGGGACAAAGGACAAACTAGTGACAACCTACTGAAAAATTAGATTTGGCCAACTGTGAAAGAAAATAGACCTGAGTACTCCCAACTTCTAAGTTTTCTAAGCCTTGTAACATAGTGCTGAATATTTCAAATGTTTTGTGGAACCAGTCTCTGGTATTTGTATGGGAATTTATATATGAAGCATATGGGTTGCTGAATTACTCTTTATGTAGACAAGAAGTTCATATTCTGCATTATGATCAACATTGCATTGTATGGAAAGTGTTTTGAAGTGACTTGAAGTGATGTACACTGCAGTAATTCGATTATGAGGTAATCAAATTATGAATCAAGGAAATGAGGATCTACTTGGAAAGCGCTGCTTGTATCTTCTTAGCCAGAAACAAATGGCATGTAGTTGTGTGGGCTTAGCTACAATCTGAGCTTCCAGCAATAATGGAGATGTCAGCATTTTCAGCTTCTTATGTTTGTCTGTGTGAAAGAAAAACAAGCAATGATTGATTAAAATCTAAGAACCCAAATTTACAGGTGTTAAATAAATTGTTGCATTATTCTTTCTTAACCTTTTAAAAGTATCAAGCTGATAATTGTAGTTTTGATATGGTAAATTATTGTTGTAGTAGTCAAGCATGAAAAAAATGGGGGGAAAGAAGGTAAAACGTGTGTATTAATTGAGGGCAAAGATGCTTTTCCCAACCAGAGCGTCCAGGTTTACCCCTCATGCACTCAGATATTTGCTTTTGGTTAATGTTTTTACCAAGACACTTGATTTTTTTCGAGGGTATTTAAACATTTAAACAGAATTTGGTGTCCTTATGAGTGCATCATCATCTCAGGAAAGGGTGCAGTGTCAACAGTTATCCTTTAGTCTTCAAAGGGAACTTTCAGGTTCCTGTCAAAACCTGCACTGGCATCAAATCTCATCCAAATGCTCCTCTGACTGAGGCCTGCAGCTATCCAAAAGTTCTGTCACTGAAAATTCCTGCATTACCTTCCCTTTCCCCCTGCTGCATGTTTAGGAAAATGGTCTGTTTTCCCAACAGTAAAAGATGTGGAAAATGTGCTGGAGTTTTCTGAAAGGAATTTAAAAGAGAATATTTTTGTCTTGGCATGTAGCACAGTTGTAAGGAGGCTCATTTTGATGACATCCATCTGTTGCAGATTAAAATAGGTTGGAATCGGGGATTGTGAAGCGAGTTAGTGCAGCGTGATAAGCAGGGTGACGGGAATAAATGCATTGGAATGGATTGGGCAGCTGAAATAAGTGGCTGGAAGTGGGAGGCTTTTAGGATATTCTCATGATGTGGAAGCGTGGTTCTGCCTGAGGTTTGTGACAGGGAGGTGGGATTAGCTGAGAACACGCTCAGCCGGAGGCGTTCCTGTGGAAAGGTGAGTCCCACCCAGACCGGAGTATGGACCATCCTCGACCTCTGGGCTCCCACCCCCACAAACAGGCTCTCGTGCTCATCTACCTGCTCCTTGCACTCACTCCCACTCGGATTACTGAACTGGGACAATTGCTGCTGGCCCTGGTCGCCTTCCCGAGGGCTTACTCAGGGTACTCATTGCTCCTGTAGCACGGCTTGGGCTTGTGTCCCGCTCTCAGGTGCCTCAGTAGCCAGTTTGCCCATGTGTGGGAACATCCAAACCTGGGCTGGTTTCAAGCAGCTGCTGTTGTTCTGTGTCACAGACAAAGGCGAGAGGGCTGAGGCGTTCTAAGCTCCATTGCTTAACGGTACAGGCCACAAACCTGGCTGAAAAATGAAAACTTATTTTTATAGGATTTTTAAACCCTTTTTTAACATGTGAGTGCAGGCAGTTTAGGGATGGGAATGTTTACAACGTGATCCTGGATTTAGATACTCAGCCTTGAGTACTTTATCTGCTTTGTTCTAAGGTTAGCTACATGTGCAGTGCTGCCCACTGGGAGCATATCTATCTAAAAATAATAGCTCTAGATCTGTAAATAACATCTATACGCATCTATAAACAACATATATAAATCATACATAAAATTATATATAAAGAGAATATATACTTAGATATAATTCCCCAGGAAACTATAGTTAGCAAGTTGATAAATTTATTTTTTGCTTGTTGACAATATCAGTTACTATGATTTATGTCAGGGTTTGTTTTTTTTTTTTAGTTCTTGCTAAATTTTGAATGTCAGCAATTATGCTCTGTTTTGTTCACTCTGACAGGTCTGCGGTTCTTTTGTGCCACTATTGCCTAATTTAAATATGCTAATTAATGCAGATATATTTCAAACTCAGTTGTTTCACAGGTTTTTTTCTCTTGCAGCATAAAATGAAGAAACCTTTCACCACTGATTAAGTTCTGCTCTGCTGTAACTAGGGGCTAATTGGAGAATTTTTTTTTTCTTCTATTTTTACAGTCTGACAGCAATGCAAGCTTTCTCCGAGCTGCCAGAGCTGGCAATTTGGACAAAGTAGTGGAATACCTGAAAAGTGGAATAGACATTAACACCTGCAATCAGGTAAGAGGTTCAAGGGACACAAGTTTGCAAGAGTGAATTGCAAGAAACCTGGGCACTGTAGAAATGTGATTTATCTCTTTACCCTGCTGAATGTGGGAAGCTCAGCCTGTGGATTTTCTTTAGCCATCCCACGTGAAGCACCTGATCCCCGGAGAGCTCAGGTGTGGGAATCTCAGGGTTCCCTTGTTATTTTTGTGAGATGTCAGGGAGCAGCTTAGCACTTGAGTGGGTGTTGTTGTAGCTGCCCAGATAACTCGTGTCCCAGCAGATTAAAATCTTGGCACTCACCTGCACTGGCATTGCAGTTCTGATTACTCTCAGACGGCTAAAGGGGTAGCCATGGGCTTTTCACCTTGTTTCACAAAACTAAATGTGTTTTTATCACTGGTCAATAATATCTACAACATAACATAAAAAGTACTTAAGTGTTGCACTTACCATATTCCATCTTCCCTTTCAGCGAAGTTATTGCTCCTGTAAAAATACGCTGTTGAAGTTTCACCATTGATGTTACTGTAATGTGATACAATGTTTTGGCTTGTCTCTTTTCTAGGTCTGTCATACAAATCCAATTACTTTGGCTTCATAGCTTAGGGACCTTCATTTGCAATGTTTATTTAAGTGACTAGAACCATCAAGTTTAATAAGACTCTTAACTGTGATTTAAAATATATATGCAAATAAGTGTCTGCATCACTTCTGAGAAGTGTCTTGGCTTTCTAGTGAAATCACTGCAGTTTCTTTGGTGGGGAATTTGACAGCTCAGGCTTTATGGTGTCCAGCTTTCCCCTAACTATTTGCCAGATTTGATCAGAGTGACCACTAACTGGACAATGGCTATGTCATTTGGAAGTAAAACTCCAGGATTGTGAGCACTATTTCTTTTGGGGAAAAAAAAAGAGTAAATGGGAGAGTAAGGAATGAAATAATCTCAAGTATTTGGCTCCATCACCTTCCCTGCAGGTGACTAAAGCAGCCATGTGTCAAATAGAAGCTGGGGCACAGGAGTGAGAGCAGATCTGTTGGCTGTGCCAAGGAATTTAATGATGAGGAGGATAAGAGCTGGGGATTTTCATGTTGTGCTTATTGAAAACATACAGAAATGTCCTTGTCTTACTGTCTAGGGGAAGGTTTCCTTTGAAAGACTTGCTGTTAAGGAAAAACTTCCCGAGTTATATGGGACATGACCTGGCAAACTCCAAGTTTCCCAGTTAGGAGAGAGTAAAGCTAGACTCAAGTTCTTCTGTTCCAATAGATCCAACAAGTTTTACGGCTTTATTATAAACACCAATATTAACAAAGACATTCACCCCCAGGAAGGAGCAGAGTTAATTTGATAATTACTTTGGAACATTGCAAGGTTTTCTCCCGCTGTTCATATTCTCTTGCTGGTTATGGGAGGAATATGACAAAGGTTGCTGCAGATTGATCCCCTGTGGAAAGTGCTTCCCACCTGCAGCTGGTGACAAAGCTCCTCTTGCACTGTGTAGGTGAGATCAGAGCTTTCACCATCCACTGAGCACAACCAAGCACTTCAGTTTCTGCCAGACTCCAGTTCTGGTGCTGTATAAAATTGCTTGCAGAGGTAACTAAGACCCTCAGTGCCTCCACTGATTAAGCATCGCTGGTGTAGTGTAAACTTTGTTGGGAGTGGGAGCAGACTCCCTCTGCTAGAGGTCAGGGAATACTGAGTAAGTCATGGCAGCTGCTACTGCAGCCTTCAAGTTACTCCTCCTCCTTTGTCTTCTCCTTGGGGTTTGACAGGGCTGGCCATGTCATTGTGTTCCAGCTGTATAAGGGGAGAAGCAGACACAGTCTGTGCAAAATGCAGGGGTGTATTTTATTTTTAAGCGTGAGATCTCTCAGTGATCTTTTAAAAATTAAGCCTTATATGTGCAGGGTATTTTTGCTCAGTGAAATGCTATTTTTAGATTAGATCTCATCTGAGAAAACCATACATAATGTTAAATATAAGCTTTCCAGAATGAAGAGAACACCAGGAGATTCTTTCTTCAGCTTCACTGTTTTTTTTCTCAGATCCTGAGTTTTCAGAGTGATATGTCTTTATAGATAATCAAAGTATTTCCCCAATGTAACTGTTGCCAAAATATGATGGAGCTTAATGTTTCTGGATATACTGAACACAGAGAGTAGTTAATAAAACAATTATAGAGTTAATAACTTGATATTACTTAAATATGCTTTGTTGAATGCTACCATCATAACAAGTTCACTTATTATGGAATTGCTTACTTTAATCTGATTTCAAGCACTGTCATCTATTCTGACAATCATAAATAAATTCTGTTTATTTCTGGAGAGAGTTAGGAATATCAGGGGACAAAATTCCCCAGTTTTATGAAGAGTCCCTTAGAAAAATCCGATTCCTGGTATTTTATAGGATGGATAACCAATAGCCATTGGAAATACCCGGTTCCTTTAAAGTTCTTTTTCTATGCTACAAATGTAGCTTTTTAGTATGTGGGTACTGTTTCTAGTTAATGTGGCAAGAGAAAACATCTTGCTTCATCATCATGTTCAAAACATTGCTTAGCAAAACAAATGTCACACTGTGCATTTGCACAGCCCAAGATTCCAGCAGGACTTAGACCCCAGAGCCTGACTATTCTGAGAGTTTTGAAACTGAATTGGGGGTCTAAAGGAAACATAAAGTAACATTTCTCCATCTTGTCTTTGGAGACCTGTCAGTTTTCAGGGTGATGTCTTGGAAGGGAAAATGCAATGGGCGTTGGCATTTACTTTGCAAAAGTCTTCTGTGTTCCTCCATGAAGTCTGACGCCTTGAGTAGATCAGAGTTCGAGCATTAGGTTGTTTTGGGGGCCTCCAGCTCCAAGGTTTTCTGAATTTCTGTCAGTTTGGCTTTTGCTCTGGTTTTGTTGGCTTCCTTTGAATTTGGTTTGTCTCTGTTCCTGCGGTGGCAGTGAGACAGAGCACAGCTGTTAATTACTCCCTCCCTCCCTCCAAGTGGAAAGGCACTGCCTCTCCCAGCAGTGCCAGCTATAGACTGAAGGAGCACTGTAGCATAATGAGGTCAGCAGCACCACATTTGATGTCACTCTATAGGTTAATTCAGTTTCTTGACTTCCTAGACTATAAAGCAACAGAAAGTAAGAATTTTCATAACCTGATAATGTTTTTCTTTTTTTTTTTCCACTGTCCACTTAATTTCTTTGCGATATTTTTAGGAAAAACTTCCATAAATATTTGGACTTCAGAAAGCCGTGCCCAGCTCTCTAATGTGCCCTTTCCCAAAACTCTCTTGAAAAGAGGTTGCCACATGCGCATTTTATTCCCCCAAGAGATTTATTCAGAGGAGAGACTTTGCAGAGCCATCTATTAAAGAGAGAAAAGTATTTGAGCTTAACAAAGACTATGGTACTGCTTTCTAGTTTCTGTCTCTGCTGGCAAAAGGAGTTAGCGCCACCATACAGAGTTAGTCACAAAAGCTTCTTAATTTTCATTGTGTTTTGAAGTTATGCTTTGCTATTGGGCTGTTATCATTGAAGCGTCCCCCCACTTCCTTCAAACACTTTCTTTTCCCCATTTCTACATCATAAGTTCTTTATCATCCTCATGAAGTCTCACCAGCAGAAGGTGAGTCGAGCTTTCTGGGATTGCCAAGTTATTGTCTATACCTGTCACTTAGAGCTGAGCTTAGAGGGAAAGGTGTAAAAGCCCACAGAGTGCTGACTTGGCTGATTTAAAATGTCCTTTGAACTACAGGTTGATCTGATACTCTGCCAAGACATTGCATTTCCATGGTGTCAATTTGCTTTGGCACAATGGGATTAGGTGGGAATGGAGAAGCTGTTGGGTCTGGGTGATGTCCCAGAAGGAGTAAATGGCACAGCAGGATTGATGCTGAGCCAGGCAGTGATGAAATAGCTTCCATTGCATGAGGATGACTCCGTGAGGCAACGGAATACAAAGGCAGAGGTAGCAGGGAATTCTTTGGGGTGATTTCCAGACAAGAGCAGTGTCAGTGCCTGTCTTACGGGGAATAAGTGACTGACTTTGGACCAGCTTCAAATAGGCTGGTGATTTATAGGATGTCCAAGAAATCCCTGGACTTTTCCAGTGTGGTGAAAATACCTTGTGTGGCACTATAAGAGTGCTGTGAGCAGTCTGTGGTAGGTGCACGTTTGTAGCAGCCCATGGGATAGAAAGCATTGACGTCTTTGCCTCAGCGGTAGAGGAGAAAGAGACTTGAAGGAATCAGGCACTGCAGGGAAACACTTGGAAACAAGAACCAGCTTGGAAGGCTTAGTATTGTGTTATTTTATGAGAGTTAAAATTACCAAGGAGTCTCCAAAAGAATGGCAGTTATGGCATATGCAAGCTTTGTCCTTATGTGGCACAGTTTTGCTTAGCAGACAACTAATTTCACCCTCCCCAACTTTTTGGTGGGCAGGGGAGAGAAAAAGGGACGTGTCAGAAACCTTTGTTGTTCAGAACGACAAAAATCCAGTTGACAGGAACGGAGGAGTTGCATTGATTAAATCTGAGATTCCATCATCAGAAGTAGCAGGGATCAGCCACGTAGGCTGGGAAATAATTGCAGCGTTGGTTCTGATTAGGGAGAAAGAGAACAAAAGTTGCTTTAAGGCTTCAGTTGTGCTGGCCCTCAGCATTTTAAGTGCAGGGCTTGCTGCTGCTTACCCCTGCTTGCTTTATTTAAGGAATTATGGACTCTGAATATCTATAGTCCTATTTTTAAGCTAGAGTTTCTTCCTGGACTTTTTACTGGACCTCAACTATTAATTTTGCTGATGTTTTAATGAATTAAAATGAAGTCCTGTGTTGCAAAGGAACTCAATTTATGCAGCAATATCAACTTCCAGGTGCTTATTGTGGCATCAACAGATATGTGGCTCAGAGGTAGGAATACGAGTATTTTCAGAGATTAATGCACAGGGACAAGCCTTGCTCTCTCCATATTTTGGCCCCTGGTAAACTAAAATGGAGGCTTATCCTCATCCTTTTGCATTCAGAGTTGTTTATGGGCCATGAATTTTGCAGTTCCTCTGCTCTTTGTTCCCAAAGAGTGAAGAAGGTTGATCACATGTGGCAGCAATACATCAGCTGTGTACACTGTGAGGAGGACCAGCTGCCCTTCGGATTCCCATGGAAAGTATTGATGACAATCTGTGAAATCAGATATGAGAACAGGTCTTTGTTCTTATAAACAATCTTCTTATAAAACGGTGAGGAGAACACAGTGTATCCCCACAAAAAGCTATTTCAAAGCTCTCAGCCAGTGTAGGTAGTAATTGTGGTTAGTTGATACTCAGCTGAGATTAAAAACAAGCAAGATCAGAGTTTTCTGAAATGCGTTTAGCCTTAAAAGTATTCCCTGACATGTGCAGTATTCCTTATCCTGGTGATTATGATCAGTCTCACCACATATTTTTGGCTGAGGATTTATCCTTGAACAGGGCATGGCACTGCTTCTACCCCTGGGCTCTGCAGCTCCGTAGTAAGAGTGTTTCCTCTGTAATAAGGATGTTCTGGTTGCTGTAGCTTTTCCCACATAATGGGGCTTTAAACCACATTTCTCATTAACATTTCCTAACTACCAGGCTGCAGAAGGGGGTTCCTCTGCTTTTGACAGCCTGTGATTGTGGCCTTCCTTTAGTCCCTTTGCTTTTCTCATTGTTCCACTTCTGAATTTGACCACAAAATCTGCCTGTGCTACTTACATGGATGTGGAATCAAATGGAGTTAGTGCAGAAATGCATTTGGATTGCTGTGTCTGAATCCACTGGACCCACTCCCATCAAATACCTCCTGTGAAGTGCTAAGTGCTTCAACATCCCACTGGGAATTACAGGCTCCACTTGCCTCTGTGAATGCACAAATAGAAGCAAGGAAGTTGCCTGTTTATTTCACAAGTGAAGTGATTCTGAACTGCTCAGAGACAAGCAAAGTGATAAAAATTGCACAGCGCAGAATCTGCTGCCGGTTGCTCAAACACCTGAGTATTGCTCCTGATGCCTGCAATATGGAAACCAAGAGAATGCTGGAGGGAATGGCAGTATTTGTCCCTGTCACCTGCCCGATGTAGCATGAAAAATACCTCAGGATTGTGAAAAACAGGTTGGCAATTCAGCTACAATAGACTGCAGTTTAATTTTTTTCCTTGGGTGGAAGGGGGAGGGGATACTAGGAAGAAGGAGATCAAATTTCCATGGCAGGAATTTATATGAGATAAAGTATCCTGTTTCTGTTTAATGTGGAGAGGATTTAGATGCTGACTTTCTTAGGTTACCTTTTCAACAATCCTAGCTTTTATTTAATTGGTTTTCTTTTCCTTTTTGACTGAGATTGCAAAACCTCAAAGTTTAGTGAAGACTTGCACATCAGACACCAGCAGAAGTGCCAGATCAAGGATCAGTTTGCAAGTCAGAAGTGATCAACAGCCATTTTGGCCTATTTGTGCTTTTGGGTTTCTTTTTGTTACCTGTTATCCCTGAGGAGAGACCAGGGTTCAGGGTGGCTACGTCAGCATGGACTAACCCTGATTGAGCAGACACATCCTGTGTAAATTTGGCTAAGTCCTGTGATTTCTCAGTATTGATAAAACCTCAGCAGGGCTGGATAAGGTTACAGTAGTGAGGCAGAAATACACTCAAGTTTTGAAACACTGGGCTCCATGGAGATCCCCAAAGTAGTAGTCTGTGGTAATGGGAAGTTATTAGAAAATGAGGAATCTTCTCTGGATTCTCACAAAACACAGTTTGCTTTGATGTATTTGTTGCTATGAGAAAAATGTTATCGGAGAAGTTTGTCCCACAGAGCCTCAGCTTAAATAGCCGTGTCCAAAGTATCTGACTTATGCAGACAGTCAGCTAAGAGATGTCATAGTATTCCAGCTCCTAATCTTCTCCTGATCCCAGGGCGAGGTAGGAATGTGTATCTGATATTTGTAATGGATCTGGCCCTTGTGCTTGCAGAATGGGCTCAATGCTCTGCACCTGGCAGCCAAAGAGGGCCACGTGGGACTGGTACAGGAATTGTTGGAAAGAGGCTCGGCTGTGGATTCTGCCACTAAGGTAATTGATGCATGTCTCTAAGTTTATTCCATACATATGAGAAATATAGACAAAACCCCAGAAAGTACAAAATGAGAGAATTGTATAAATACCACACTGGTATTTAAACTGTTGTTTCTGTTATGGCCTGGGAGTTGTCTTTGCTGCAGCTCATTGGTAGTAAATGAAGGGGAAAATGTATTTTGTAGTATAAGACAGGGGAAGCACTAGAAGCTTTTAGCAATGCCAGATTTTCCTTATATCCAATGACAGGTCCTCCTTATTTTAAGGAGAATTAGCATAGCTCCAAGATTTCCAAATCTGTGAAAATCACTAACTGACTTTATCATATCCAGAGTCTTTTTACCCGTAACAGAATGGAAAAACACCTGTGGGATAAATTGCTTTCCCTTTAGCCTTTCCACAGGCAAGCACATGTGCATGAGCGTTATAAAAAAACCTGCTGATTGAAATGATTCCTGAAGAAGGGTAATAATAACTTGCATTTCTCCCCTCTAACAGAAAGGGAATACAGCCCTGCACATTGCATCCTTAGCAGGACAAGCTGAAGTTGTCAAAGTTCTGGTGAAGGAAGGAGCCAATATTAATGCACAATCTCAGGTATGATGCTCTTTTTCCTTCTCACTTCTAAAAGTTATTTGGTGAGCTCTTGTAAGTTCTGAGCTATTAGACACTGCTTCTAAACATCCAAGCCTGACAAATCAAGAAAATGGAGGCATTCTCTCATAAGCAGAATAAAAGTAAATACTGAATTGAAGTCATTACATGCTCATTGTGTGATACAGGAACTCCTATTGTTGGTGATAGAAAAATTTTGGAAGCAATTTATAGAAGCATGCTAGGAATTCCTAGAAGATTCCAAAGTATATAAATATTGTATTTGAGTGGAATTTGCTGAGCAGTAATGAAGAAGAGAATTTTTCAAGGGCTTGATTTGTACAATTGCTTTTTATGGTTATTCTTTGGCCAAGAGTTTGCAGATAACTTATTCCGGGCTTCCAAACTCCTTCCTTATGTGATCAGAAAGAATTTCAGTCAAAAGTTTGTGAGGAACATTTGAACTGGGGAAAATCACCTTGTCCTGGCCAGAAAACCAACTGTAAAAACTGCCCTCTTATTTCCACTGACATGAAACTTGTCTGGTCTTCCAAAACACACCAGAGGATAGGGTGGTGTCCTTGACCTGTAATTCCCGTTGATTAGGATTAAGAACCATTTATCAAATAAATAATTTGATTAATGTTTGTAAATGCTGCCTTAACTATAGTAACTGTCTGTAGCTATAAGGGCCTGAACAGATGGTATAGATGATAAAGAAAGTAAATCTTTCTGAAGCACTTGGCTGGTGACATCCTCATAAAAAAGAAAATTTTCCTAGTACTAGCTCCACACCTTGTTTACCCACACCTGGGAAAATGGGACCTGGAGTGTTTCCTATTGTTTGACGTTACAAATTCACTATGGTCAGGGTAAGGTAAGTAGAGAGCAGGAGATGAATGAACAGCTGCACAAAATGAATGTTTGTCTGTTCCTTTAGCGCATTTTAAGACAAGAGAAGGAAACTGAAAAAAAACTTAGGTTGCCTGAATCCAAGATTTTAAAAGTATATTCTTTATTATGCTTTTTGCCCCAAAATGATGGAACAGCTCTCTCAGGACAGCTGATGCTCAGTTGTCCCCATGCTCTATTCCAATTAAAGATAAAGAAACATAGTTCCTTTGTTCAAAAATTTAGCAAACTCCTTTCATAATGAACAAGCTGGATGATTTCTTCATACATTTATCAGCCTTTTCGTGTGTATTAGAAGACAAAAAAATTCTTTAATATTTTGTGCATGGTAAGAGAAATAATTGTTAAAAATAATACTTTCATGAAACATTATTCCTCAAAAGTCTTCCTAAAGGCTTTTCCTTATGCTGAAAAAATAAATGAGGTTTTGTAAATAAAAAAAAGAAAATCCAATTAGAACTGGAAAATGTGTTCACAGGTATTACTTTTTACAGTATTCTAGTTATAAAGACATTTACTGTTAGCACTGGATGCTTTGTGTAATGTACACAGAGCTGTTAACAGGCATTTGCTACTTGACTTAATTGAGTTAATCTGATGGAGGACATTTTCCCCATTACTGCTCACTGATTGCTTCCAGGCAGGATGGATTGGAGCTGCTGGGATACAGATGTCCTGCCTTTTTGTCTTAATTAAACAAGTCCTGTTGATTTGACCGGGAGCAGGAGTCCTTAATGTGGTGTCATCCAGCTTTGGGGCCTTGTGTTGTGTCTTTGTGGCCGGCTGTGCTTTTCCAGAGGAGATGGATAAGATGGGGAATAGCTGTTTCAGGCAGATGTTCAGAGGCTCTTGCTGCCACTGCCAAAGGAGGCATTCCAGTGGATGGCATCCCTTATTTATAAAGTAACTTTTTTATGGAATGAAGGCGATGAATGCTGCCTTGCTGCTCAAGGTTGCGTTGATGTGTCAAGAATCACGTGTCATAGAAAAGAAATGTTACGGAGAAAAAACCAGAAACTCCCAAATTAATAAAGAATCGGCACACGGTTTATGATAACAAATGAAGCAAGGTTCAAACATATCTAACTACAGCCAGTCAAAAATGAAAAGTATGAAGTTAGATAGGAAAAAGAATGACTGAGCAGAATGTGCTTGAGTTCTCAAAAACTCAGGATTTGTTGTCTAGAAACATGGAAAAAAAAGGAGAAGAAAAATATATCAGCAAAGAGCTTAGTCGAGAAAGTGGGAAATGAACAAAAATACAAATTTAAGGTGTACAATACAAAAGTGAGAAGTTATGAATGAAATACTCAACTTCTCATTTTTATGTTTTCCCTCAATTCCATTTTTAAAAATAGGGTGCCATACTGTCACCCTTAAATCTTTTAGCAGCAGTTGTTGCTATTGAGGGTGTACTGCATCTTCTCCTTGGTATCTCTGTTATTTCACACTTTATTTTTTTCAGGCCCCCGTGAAATGCCATTTGCTGGTAGTGATTTAGTGCCAGGAGAGTTACTCAGGTTGCTGCATCACTTTCTCTTTCAAGAATTCACTATCTGTCAAAGCCGTTCTCATTTTCAGTGATGACAATTTCCCATAGCGACAAAATTTCTCCTTCGATGGTGAACTGGTAGATAAAGGTGTAGCTGCAACTCGAGCTTGTTCAGTTTATTGTTTCTACTTTAATTTTCTCCATTCAATTGCATAAAAACACTGGCCTTTATCAAAACTTACAAGCAATGACATCTGAAACACCACACTGATTTTCCAGTTCCTTGCAACAGCAAAATAACAGAATTATCTCAGGAAATGCTATTAAACCCACTGTAACCACTGGGTTTACAAGCCCCATCTGTGCTCTCTGAGGCTGCTAAGCACTCTGGGCTCTGATTTTATAGATTTTGGGTTTCTATTAGATTACTTTGCTTTGCCTTTCAGTTTCACGTTGGCCTTTGGAGCTGTTATTTTGTTCATCTTCCTCTTTTAAAAACTCTGTTCCTTTTGAGCTAACATGTCATCACTGCTATTTTTAGAGAAGTAATTTCTATTTTGATAGCGAGTTTAATTGCACAGTGATTACCAGTTGAGTGACTCCACTTCCAGTTGCGTGCGTGCCCTTTGAGAGCTGACATCTTCCTGGAGTGTGTTTCAAGCAAAGGCTGGGACGAGGGCACACCCAGAATGGTCAAACATCTACAAGATGCTGCCCTTGGCTGGCATATTTCCACCTGGGACTGGACAAGGGTGGATTTTTTTGGCTCAGTTACAAGTGCCTTTGGCTACAAATATTAAACAGTAAACATATTGATATCATGAGTATCTTATGTGAGCTCTTGAACTTTTTCCAGGTGGAAGAAATATCACCAGATTTATTCAGTCCAACCCTTTCCTTTGATAAATTACTCTTTGTCCCTGTTGCTTTCTCCTTAAATTGTCCTGGACCCTCTGACTCACGTACAGGCATCAGAGATGTGCGATCCCTGGAAATCAGCCTTCCAAATGTGCTGATAGCCTGACTGCAGAAATCCTCATAACTGAGTGTACCTGTAGACTGTCGCTGCAGCAGTGATGCTGAGGTGTCCTGAGCATGCCTTCCTTAGGGAATGGATCCATCCTGGCATTCTTCCATTCCAGATGAGGTCAAGAAAAACCTCTTGTGGAGAGTTGCACCTCCTAGGATGAGGCACTTTGACAAATGCCAAGTGATTGAGGTACAAAGTTGAAATGTAGAAGGTGAAATGAGGAAATGCAATCTGCTCCTGTTTGGGACCTGTCATACCCTGGAGTGGCCTAGGAAAGAAGTGGTTCCCTTCAGTTTTAAAATTCCTGCCGCTGAGTTTGAACATGTTCCCCATTAGAGCAGGTTATGTTTTAACCACTGCTTTGTATAGGGGCCCTCATGAAAGGAGGAGCTACCTTTTAATCATCAGATTATTTAAAGTGACCCAGATAGAGAGAGCAAGGATTTAGATAAATCGGTCCTCCCCCAAGCTGATTTTGTTATTTAAAAGCCCTCCGGTTTCCTTTCCTCGACATCCTCCTCTAAGCGCATTGGGAACACATTAGCCAAGAAATATTTTTGCTTAAGTTTGCCCCTGTTATGGTCACCACTTCCTAGGTCAAGATGAAGAGAGGCTGCTGTGACTGCTGGAGCATTCTTATCCAGACATCTCATCAGAATGAAGCAGTCCTTAGAGCAGCACGTTTGCAGCCCCGATGTGTGCTCCCGAAAGGAGCGGTAAGAGCTCTGTGAGCTCGTTCCGTGTTACCGCAAAAGCCAAGGGAGGATTTAGGTGATTCTCAGAGAAGTGATCAGCTTGTCTCTGTCAGGATGCCCCAGGATTTGCTTTACCAGGGATTGCTCCCCCCATGGGTTGTAAGGATAATCTAACCTTCGGAGAGGAGCGCATTTTGCAGAGTATTTGCTGCTCCATTAGGACAAAAGGTTTTAATTCCACCAACAGGGCTTTCTGCTTTTATATCAATGTAGTTAGAGAGGCAGATTTTTGGCTGCTGTCTGTCAAGAGGAGTCATTTAGCCACAGCTGGTCATTGCTAATGTAATAAAGGGGCAGGCCCATTATTTTTTCACTAGAGGGGGAAAAAAAGGGAAGAAATGCCTTCTGGAGGATTTTGTGGGTTTTGAGAGATACTAACAAAAGTAATACATTAGAGGGAATGAAAAATCACAAATATTTCAGCAAAAACTGAAAACAAACTGAAAATATTTACAGTATATATCTTAGCAGTAAATTCAAAGAACTGACTATGAAAGGCTGAATGGTCCAGGTGGAAAGATTCTGATTGGAACAAGAAGTGGTTTTTTCAGTCAATAATATTTATTCTTAGAACATATTAGCTTTAGGAGGCTGCAGGTACTCAACATGCCAGCCGGAAGGGTAAGGGCTCAGCAGACCATATCTCTCCCCTGCTGGGATGACGCAGTGCTGACTGTGAGAACCAGGCAGTGCAAATGTTGGCCATGTATATTTATGAGTGTGGGGATGACTGAGCCACAACCAAATAAATAGAAGCATCTTATTTTTGGTTTTAGCGCAATATTGTCTTCCTTCCAGCCCTCAGCCACACAAA